TTCCTAAGCTCCTATGTAATTACAGTCATGAAATATCTCCTGACACATCACCAGAAGTCCCTGAAGGAAACTTATTTCTGAATTCTGATTGAAATGAAGTTCCTCCCTTTACTGCACCTTCATTTTCATCTTGCAGAGATGGTAATGTGATTTTATCAATTAATCTGATGCATCGTGGTTGTGCTTTCCACTCCAGAAGTGGYTGCATTTCATCTATGGGAAAAGTAAATCCTTCTGTGGAATATTTATAGAGACCTCAAAAGCCCTTTGAATGGAAGGTTTCTGCAGGATGATYCACTGATGAAAGCTAAACATACATAAGGAGACAAAAAATGCATATACCCATTGAATGGGAGCCTACTGGCTGTGAAGCCTCCCCAGGACAGCATTTGCACCAAAGCTTTGTATTTTCATTGGMTATAAGCATCTCCAGGACAAAATAATGCCATTATACCAAATCATCAAGACTTTCTTGATATCTGATACTTATTAGGTACCATCTGTAGGTTGTTACAGTATGATTCACTCTTCACTGATGATACCTGTACACCCATTTAGAAAGAATTTGGGACATCCAGGTCTTTGGATGTGACAAGAAAGAAGAATGAATAGGTACTATGGTTGCTGATGCTATACAGCCAATTTGCATAAAGGTATAGAATCACAAAATCCTTTAGTTTGGAAAAATCAAGCCAAACCGTTCCCAAGATTTCATGCAATGGCAGTATGAGATTTTGGCACAGGCTAATATTGGCTCAGTCATATGTGGCAAGAGAGCCCTTCTAAACTGTCTCACCTTGATCAAAGCACAACAGAAAGCACAGAGCAAAGTCAAAAACTTTTTGGGGAAAAAACTCAATGTTTGATTAGCTAGAAGTGTGCTTCAGATCTAAGAGGAGCTAGGTAAATAATCAGACCATGGATGGAGTTGAAGTTTCCACCAGGCTTCTCTTATGGTCTTCTACAGCCTGTTAAAACATCTTCACTCCCAARAACACCAGGTGAGAGAAGATAACCACAAAGCAGAAGAGAGAAATCCCCACAATAAGCACCCTTTTTACCTGCCCTTTCAGCAGCCTAACATGGAACCTTGAATCCCCAGCAGAAGCAGGTAAGAAAATATCTGTTTTTGTGACAGTATGGATTTTTCTTTAAATGGAAAAACATCATTTGTGTTAGCTGTCGCCAAATAGAACCATTTTGCAGAGATCTTTTTACAGCATGAAGCTTTGAGAAATTGCACTGTAGAAAATAATTTGTGATTGCATGTGGTACAGCTGCTTGGGCTAAATTGACAAAATATTTATCTAGAGGGTAATGCATCCATTTCTGCTTTCTGCCTCCTCCTCAAAGAAGGCTGTTCGAATCTGGGTGAGGGATTTCTTGGCATTACTACTTGGCGTTTCCCCATGATGCTTGCGAGTGTTTCGTTATCATGCAGTTATTGACAGGCACCTCATGAGGGCAGCACGTCTTCTCTGTTTCTTTCTTCCATCTCTTTCATCACACCCAGCTCTGCTTCCACACTGAATCACAAAAAAACCAAACCTGTGTATACACTACAGACGGCATTATTCTGCTTATGCTACTTCGATTAACGAGGGGCTCAAAGAAAGCTAGAGACATCCCACCTTTATAGCTGATGCTATAGGAAATACTGCTGCCCTGCTTCACAGAGAGGGACAAAACAGCTGAGCAAACCCACAGAATGATAAAGGTTGGAAAAGCACCGTAAGACCTTTGAGTCCAACCATTCCCTCAGCTCTACCAAGCCCACCAATTAACCCATGTCCCCAAGTGCCACATCCACACATCTGTTAAATCCCTCCRGGGAYAGAGACACTCCCACTGCCCCARGCAGCCTGTTCCAATGCCTGACTGCCCTTTCAGTGAAGAAATTTTCCCTAACATACCATGTAAACCTTACTTGGTTCAACTTATGGCTGTTTCCTCTTGACCTGTCCCTTGCTCCCTGGGAGCAGAGYCTGACCCCCAGCTGGCTCCACCCTCCTGACAGGGAATTGTAGCGAGTGTGAAGGTCCCCACTGAGCCTACTTTTCTCCACATTGAACCCCCCACCCATCAGGCACTTCTGGTGCTCCAGCTCCTTYCCCAACTCCATTCCATTCTGTGGACATACTTCAGCCTCTCAATGTCCTTCGTGTCATCAAGGGCTCAAAACTGAACCCAAGATTCATGTAACATGCTCAGGATGCCCTATGGCTGGCAGTCAAGGAAGGGATAAATCATTGCAGGTGGCCTGCATTCAACTGCCATGCCTTTTCCATAAATYGAATCAGGTGGCTTTTTGGTCTAATTCTGCTTGCCAGAGGRAGAGCTCTGATTTGAGGCAAAAACRACAAATKGGACAGAAACTATGTAAATGCATGAGGAAAAAGTGGTGAAAGTGGAAAGTCCCTTTTTCTAGCCCAGGGACAGACTTACCAGGATTCTTGCAGGTATAATGAGGAATGTTAGGAGGACAGGGAGAGATCTTCAYCATAGAAGTGTAAATGTACTTTCTGTATCAAGCTAAACAAAAGCAGAGGAAGGGAAGGTTGCTGAACTAGAGGAAAGACAGGTCCACTGGAAAGCAAAGATGCCCATATCTCAAAAGAGATTGCAAGAAGAGCTTTATCAGGGCTGGTGTATCATGGACAGGAGCCTATCTGATATCATGGCCAAGGGATGTCACCTAGATAAGGTGGCAAGAGCATAGCAATTCCATTCWGGCACTGTCCCAGCAACACATAGCAGAGTCACAGAACCACAGAATCGTCATGGTTGTAAAAGTCCTCTAAGAACATTGAATCCAACAGTTAACCTGGCACCACCGAGGCCACCAGTAACCCCAGACCCCAGGAGTCACATTCATAAACTCTTAGTATACTTCCAGCAATCATGGTTCTAGCACTTCCCCTGGGCAGACTGTTCTAATGCTTGTCACCTCAAAGTCAGAGGCGATAATTTTAACTCGTATTACTGCTTAAGTTCATATTATCGCAGAACAGTTTGGATTGGAAGGGACGTTAAAGATGATCCCCCTTGTCCTGTCCCTCCATGCCTTAGTCCAAAGTCTTTCTCCAGCTCTCTTGGAACCCCCTTTAGGCACTGGAAGCGACTCTAAGGTCTCCCTGGAGCCTTCTCTTTTCCAGGCTGAACATCCCCAATTCTCCCAGCTTGTCTCCAGAGAGAGGGGCTCCAGCTCTCAGAGCCTCTTTGTGGCCTCCTCTGGACTTGCCAGGTCTATGTCCTTCTGGGGACCCCAGAGCCTCATGAATAAAGGGACCAAATCACCTCCCTTGAGCTGCTGCCCACACTATAGGAGCAGCCCAAGGTGCATTTGACCTTCTGCACACTATTGTATGAGATATCCTGGGCTGGTACCTTGGGCAAGAGTTGAGATCAGACAAAAAAAATCCCCTTTCACAGACTGGTGATAGCAAAAAAGCAAAGTTCACTGTCAATCTCATGTTAGTCTTTAAATATTAGGACTTCCAGCACAGCCRAGAATTGGGCAGAGCTGCTCCAACCTTGCAGTATGAAAAAATACAGGCTATTTGTTAGCATATTCCTTTTTGCAGGAATGGARCCTTACTTGAAATWACTYTCTCCTTCCTCTSTAATAGGGGRAATTGCAGTCTGCAGCTATGCTTTRATAWARAACTTGATAATCAAAAACATTGCTTGGAAAAAGCTCTGCAAGAACTGACCTACGCAAGTTCATGGACCCCTCAAAAGTACACTCCAGTGACTTGTGACAAATAGTTACAAGTGGTTTTGGCAGAGCTTTTCTTGCTACACATTTCCAGAGAAGTCACTGGAAACCCAACCTTAATGTCAGCTAGCAGAAAACAGATATAAATCAAACCCGCTAGGGGCGAAGAAAAGGAGAAGCAAGCAACACACCAAGTTTATCTTCCTGAGCAGGAGACTTTCAAATTCCATTGGCCTAGCCTGAAAAGGGCAAAGAATAAGTTTGGCTTTCATCTTATAGAACAGCAGGCTATGAAAGTCAGCCAGTACTGCTGGATCACTTCCATGGCTTACAGGCCACCCCCAGCCCAAAGACAACAGGTTAAATCTTTCCTTGTTACTCAAAGAGCCCACATGAATGTTTCAGCACCGTGGGCTATTTCTGGAGCRCTTTGCACCTCCCACAGTACACTCTAAATAATCAGAAYKGTTTGAGTTGGAAGTGACCTTAAAGCTCATCTTGTTCCAACTCTCCTGACAYGGGCAGGGACACTTTCCACTAAACCAGGTTGCTGGCCTGTAACACATCCAAGGAGATAAGGCAGCAAGAACTTCTTTTGACTGCTTATGCCAGGGCCTCACCACCCTCACAAGGAAGCATTTCTTCCCAATATGCAATTTAAATCTCTTCCCTATTAGGTTTATTGCYTGTTTACATAGGTTTTTATTTGCCCCTTGTCCTGTCACTAAACACTCTATATAGCAAGTCACTCTTTTTATAAGGCCCCCTTTCAAGTACTAGAAGGGGCAGGAAGGATTTTTTCACCTCAGGACCAGGGATGTAATCCAGCATATTCTGTTCTAGGCAGCAAAAACCCCAAGTAATTTGCCATAAGGAGCAATAGGGCATGAGCTTTCTGTATCTGCTCAGTAAAGGAAATCCACAGGTGGAGGTTCCCTCAGTTCCTTGTACACTCACAGGCAAAACCCCAAGTTTAAACCACAAAGATTTGCTTAAACTATCCTGGCCGTCCCCTGCAAGGGAGAATGCAGATGGTGAAACAGAATCATTAAGGTTGGAAAASACCTCWAAGATCAAGTCCAACCTTTAACCTAACTCTGTCAGGTCTATCACTACACACTTCCAGAGATGGTGATTTTGGTGTGAGTCTACCTTTGGAGAGACAAATCATTTTTTTCCCCATAGAAAGAAAGGTACAACTACAGTCACACAAACTACTGCTGTAAAACCAGCCACACACCCTGCAACACCAGAAGGACCAAAGCAACCCACTATTTTTGCCCAAGTTTATTTCTAGAAATTTGTACAAAAATTGATGCTCTGTAATACAATCATCTATCAAATATGACCAATTTGTCTTCAGAGGCAAGATTGCAGGAATGTGAAGTACCAGCCTCTTGCATGGAAGAAAGGCACATTTTAGAGCTCAAGAAACACTCAACTGAATCGCTGAAAAGGCAGGTCAGACATGCAAGTAGTGTGACGTTTCAGGTTTATACATAAACAAATTGTACTCTGAAGAAATCTCACTACAAGCAATATTAACATCCACGTAAACATTTTATAAAGACTTTTAAAAGTAGCTCACTTTAGATCCTATGTGTGCAAAGGCTACTCCTTTACATTCACTGGACGGAATAATTAAAAGCCTACTTTGGCCAGAAGTTACTCCCAAATTTTCCCCGAATACTTCTGGGATCCAAAACACTTGCACCAAGAGTCCCACTGCACTTTCTCCCTATGGGCTACCCATAAGAGTCTGCAACACCAGGGCCACATGACTGTACCATCCCACTGCTCCTGGAACTTGTCTTTGGAATTTTGTGGCTATGAAGAAGTCCCATTTTCCCAGCTAYAAGCCTCTGTGCACACAGCACCTGGGACATATTTGCTTCAGAGTGGTGAAGTTACAGCCACCAAATCATCCACTACGCTATGGATCAAGGTTCACCKGACTCTTCCCACTTGGTTTCCTGCACCATCCATCATCGATGCCACACCAGGGGGGCTGGCAGCCCCACTGAACTTCCAGAAAGGGCCTTTCCAAAGCAGAAATTCTGCTACGCAAGTATGACTTAACAGGGCTCTTGTGCAACCCGCTAGTGARACTGCCATGCTGCTCACATCAACCTGCTGCTTTTTAGGTTGAAAATCAGATGGGAGATGGGATCTACTCTGCCAAAATAGCTTGTGCTAGTGGGTACAGTAGCTGTAGGAATGTTTCTAATCCATTGCTGGCGATCCAACAGCATTATATAGCAGATTACAAAGGCAATTATTCACCCCATCCGAATCCTCACAGCAACAGTGCATTGTGCTTTTTTTTTTTTGTTTTTATAAAAGGTTGTTTGTAATGGGATTTCTCTAAAGCAAAGCCTTTCTTTATTATTTTCAGAAGTGGTCTAGCAATATTTTAAACACTTGCTTTGAAGGAGACATACACCCACACTTGCTTTCAAGTACACAATGACAACTTGGACTCCTGGAAAAGATGTGTTGGTTCTGAGAGAAGGAGGTGCTGCTGAACCAGTGCCTTCAGTTGACTTCCAAGACCTCAGTCTCTGGCAGGCCAAATTTGCTCTTGTATTTGTCAAAGAGTTTGATCAGGGAGTCCACATATAAGCTATGGTAGAAGTCCACTTCCTCCTGGGATGGATTATCAGTTTTGGGGATGGTGATGGGCTCTCCAACTGATAAAAAAAAGGGACAAATACACATTAGCTTAAATTTTCCTCCAACCTGGATATTTGTTCACTACAGACACAGCTAGAGTTCAGCATATCCATTCTCGCACAGCACAGTTTGCCATTATAGCAGAGGTTTGCTATAATTCCTCACACCTTTACCAGGCTCTGAAGCACAATTATCCCACCACAAGGATCCCCATCACATCTGCAGCAGTACCAGATTTGCTTTAGCCACAYAAATGCCTCTATTGCATTGAAGGTGGCCAGGAAGTCCCCTGTTTACAGCAGAGTGATAAATTCCCCCTTGACTAAGARGAGCCAAGAGTCAGCTCTTGTGTATTTCCTATACACACCACAAAAGCAAAGCTGACCTTTTCTTCCCCTCCCTCAAAGCCTCTCTGCTTCGGGTTGGAAGACTCAAAACACAAGTTTTAGAGTTGGCTTTAAGATTCAACTGTCAGCATCCCACTGGCCAGTTCTAGGAGCATGGAGGGCCAGGCTGCTACTGACTTTAGCTATCCAAGGCCAGAGAAACTAGACCTACAGTCTTTTCCCCCCCAAAAAGAGGCTTTTATGCAAAACTGCCTGGAAGCAGAAYGTGATTGAAGGATTGCAGCCTCTGGCAAYTCTTCTWGATCATTCTCAGTTTTGCTGGAAGRTTTTATATAGAAGGGAAAGGCATTTCATAATCAAGTCTCCACAACCAAACTAYAGCAGGTATACARYACAGACTYAAGTACTCTGCTACCATGCTACCAGAGAGGCACACAGCAYGTTTATACCAAAACCTTACCAACAGTAGTGATAGGCTTGGAGTAAGGTAACAATCCCCACGTGTTGGAGGAGAAGAGGCCACGGCCATGAAAGATGCATGGAGCAAAGCCAATGTGCTTCTGGAACTTCTTCTGAACCCATCTGCCCCAGGAACCCTCTTCAAAGATCACCTGCTTGTACACTTCATTCTCACCAAAGGAGTAGACAGGAACCAAGTCCGCTCTAGAAGACAAAAAGATGTCAGGACTCTATTTCCCTGGACTGTGGTTCATATGACAGCCCCACACACTGCTGTGTTGTGCCAGGCTGCACAGTTGCTGACAYTGTTGCCTGGAGCTTTTTTTGCAGCACAAGATACTGACAAAAGCCAGCCAAACTTGACATAAACAGACATACTTTGAAGGCATGCAAGAGAATTGTACTGATAATGAGCCTGTGGAACACTGCAGTCAGGCATTGGACATGCTTCCATATATACTCAAATCCTGGTTTTGATGAAAACCTCCTTTCAGACACATGAGGATGGTGCAGGTCATCACCTCATGCAGGTTACTGGCACCTGCCTCTCCTTGCCCTGGAAGCTTCCTGCTGTGCCAGGGATCCTCCTACCCCTGTACCTTGCTCAGGAGCAGAAGCCAAAGGACACTCGTGTCTGATCCCCCCCACAAACATTCACACAATGCAGCAAAATTGCAGAAAGGAGAATCYCTCCAAGGTATCAGCTACTTCAGGGAACAGAATCACAGAAYGGTTTAGACTGGAAGGGACCTTCAAARGCCATCTAGCCCCAMCCCCYTGCACTGAGCAAGGATCTTCACCTAGACAAGTGGTTCAATTAAGAGCACCTTCTGCATGCATGCAGTAGCAGTACTGCTCCAGCACTGAGGCTGTCCCTTACCCATGCCGTAGAGCAAGTTTCACAAATCCTTTYCGGTTCTTCAGTGTCACAGAGTTCTTCCCTGGGGTGCAGTTCAGGGACTCTGCTGCCCCTCCAACCACAATGATGATGGCATTGCCACTGCCATTCTTGGACAAGATGTAGTCTATGCTGTCMCGGTTCACAGGACATATACCTGGATCAAGGAGACACACACACAGGAGTCACACTACAAGATTAGCTGGTGACTTTAGGATCTTCTCATACTTTCAGCACAGTTTATGTCTCAACTGCAAGTTGAGTTGTCCAACCTCCCTGTGGTGAGAGCGGGTGGTATTAGCAGGCAATCTGGTCCTCAACTAAACAAGCAAACCTAGCAGCACTAGACTTGGCCATAAACTCCAAAAATATCAGCTCTCAAAAATTTCCCTTTATCTTCAAACTTCAGCAAGGATTTTCTGTATCTAGTGATATCAAAGGCATTGGTGTCAGACATGTAAACTGTTCCCTCCATGTAAACTTTACAGCAGGATTTGGTTTATCTTTAGTGAGGAAGAAAGGACTTGTGTTRTTTTGATGGCTAAGAGTCTGATTTTGACCAATTTCTCAGCAAAATTAGGTAGTGGAATAGGTTTGGGAGAATGCTTTAGTGATACAAAAATAAATGGAAAACCTTTGAGACAGATCTGAAATAACATGAAACTCTTGCAATCCTTTGCTGTCCTGGGAAGGAAAGGATGAATGGGGTGGAATGCTTAGGTAAGTCCATACTCAGAGAAGTGTGTGGGAAAGTCTTTCCCTCTCTCCTACACTGGAAAGGGCAGGACTCCTCTTCAGCTTTACTAAGCAATCTCTGCCCTAAAGCACCAGTCCTCACTCCAGGGAAATGAAAACCCAAAGACAGCACCTTTAACTTCTTCTGTATTGCTCTAAAAATGTGAAGAAATTTGATTGTCTGCTCTTTAAACGTTGTTTTTGCCCTACAACTGGTGTCCAAACTTGCTCCTGCCTCACGTTTTTGGCCAGGGTGAACCAAGGAGAAGTAGGATGCCCTCGTTTCCATTTCCATCAYGCAACACATCTGACCTGAGTACTTTAGGTCATTGCCCTATTACACCATTTAATCTTAGAAGCTGATTTTGCACATCTCATGGTATTCATTACTTGAGCCAAGAACTAAAAGATGAGCAGGCCCTCGGGACTTAGGACAAGTCTGCCAGGCCTTGATGTTTATCTGGGCATCAGGGTATCACCTATCCCAACTCCAGAAAAGAACAGAACAGACCACRCTTGACAGATCAGCTGGATTTGAGGATGAAAAATTAGTGTCTTTCAGCACAGCTCCATCTCTCTGACCATTTCTCCTCTGAAAGGCTCAGGCTATGCTCACTGCTTCAACTTTCATCCTTCTCCGGTGCTCTGGTGATCTCCTCATAGCTTACAGAATCCCTAGGATAACCTCTAATATGCTGTAAAATTAAGAATTCTTACTAGTTGTAAGCCAACTATGTGAATTGGTACAGTGTTAGGTTAAATTATAACAAATCCTCAAGTGGTTCAGCCACAGAAAAAAAGGATTGAGGGAATTCTAAGCCCTTTCTAAATTGTGTTAAGGCCTTTGTATCATCACTCTAAAGTTCTAGTATAGGAAAGTAGAGAAATTATGGCTTTCACAAGGTTAACTTCATCACACTTGTAGTATTGCTTAGATCCCAGGAAGAGAAGAAGCACAATTTTCCTCTGATTTAAGCACAATGCTCAGGGACATAGCCAAGCCAGCAATGACATTGCCAGTGTCTACTTCTACTTTCCTTCTAAAAAGAAAAAGGCAGCTGTGGCTGGCCACAAGATGTGTTTGCCAGTCATACTAAGAAAATTGAAGATGATTTTTTTAAAATACAGGAAGACTGTATGGAAACTTAAGCAACACAACTAAATTTACAGACATGACAGACTGGGAAGCAGATTCCAGATTCTCATGCACTGCTGTCCTGTGAAATTCCCAAATTATGGACTTCACACAGCAACTAACATCAGCGCAGGAAAGTAAAAACCAGCTTGACACACTATCTTTTCTAGATAGGGACAAACACCTTTTCTGCACCAGAGCAGGTTAGTTTTTTTCTCCCTCACTTAATTAAGGCAGTAATCTCAGAAAYAGTCAATTCTAACAAGTCAGAGCCAGGTACAGCTACTCCTRTCTTCTTCCCAGCCACGGTACWTAAGATCTCTGTTTTAAAGTAACTYGATGAAGCARTTCCAGAAACAGTGAACAGGTTACTGGATTGCTCAATTCATGGTCTTTAAGTGTTGTTGCTTCACCTCCATCTAACTGACAGGCATCCTCACTCTGAAAAGGAAGCTCAGGCCATGCAAGAACACTGTTTACTGAGATTTTAAACACTGCTTCCTCTGTCTAGTCATAACTTACAAGCCCTCCAGGAATCAAAATCGTGGACCCTGTTAAAACAGACCTATTAATGTAATTTAGCACACTTACATCACTGTCTAATCCGTATAATCCATCTATAGGAATACACTCAGGGAAGGGGCTCTCTGAACAGCTGGAACCATGCAATGCCCTAGATCCTTTACCCCTGGCAGTCACCCAGCAGTGCAGTTGGATGGAGAGAGCATCCATCACCAGTACAAAACACAGATGTGTGACAAGTCACGTGGCAGTGAGCCCAGAAACTGAGCTGGCCATGGGTACTCGGTATTTTACTGCAACTTCTGCAACTTCTTCCAGTACCTTCTACTAATAACTTGTTTCCATGTCTCCACCTTCCACCACTACAGATGTCAGATATCATTACTATGCCTTTGGACAAGAGTATCCTAGAGTTAAGGATGAACACAGAGGAGCAGCAGTGCTCGCAGCTCAAACTAGTCATCTTCACAGAATCACAGACTTGCTTGATTTGGAAGGAGCCTTAAAGACCATACAGTTCCAATCCTCTGCCATGGGCAGAGACACCTTCCACTAGACAGGATTTTTCACATTTATTCACAGCTTTCTCTTGACAGCCATATGAAAGCAATGATAGGTGATCCTACCAGCCAGAAGTGGTTACGTGAGCTTCTGACACAGCATTTCACTTGAAAGAGGTGAAGACAGGTCAGAGCCAAGGGCATGAGCAGAAATGGCACAGCGTGCTTGTGCTTACCACCAGACATTAAGTAGTCCCTCAAGATGGGCATCCTGAAGTTCCCAGCCAGGGTAGCAAGGTACGGTCGGATCCCAGGGAATTTCTGGCTCACACCTGTGGCCTCTGTGCTGAAGTTGCAAAAGGCACCCAAGCCCATGATGCCATGTGGATGGTACCCAAAAATGTAATTCCTGGTGGTCAGCAGATTGTGGGTTTTAACCAGCTAGAAAATAAAAAAGAGCTCAATTGAACATGGACCTTCAGATAGTAACTAAAATAGGAGAAGCATAAAACCTCATATCCCCCAGGTTTAGTCTCTCTTCCCATCAGGGAGAACATCCTAAGAGCTTGTGAATATGCTCGCCTGGATTTCAGAGGCTCTGATAGGAGCAGCCATTTTAACTTCAGTTTCCTGAGCAGAGGGAGCAGGATAAACAGGCTGGAATAAGAAGTCTGCTAGCCAAGTAGGAATAGGGATGGGTTGCTGCAGCCTGGGCCTTTTGCTTCTCTACTCCTTCCTAAGGAATTCTTACACACCTCCTGCCCAAACCAACCAAGTTCTTCAGTCCTGTAGCCACAGCTACGCCTCCTTCCAGGCTTTCTTTCAGCACATTAGTGGCTCACATCCCAGCATGAGGGGGAAAGAATATAAACATTGCTGTCTCATGGCAGAAGCAAGTTCACTTAATGCCTGAAAAACACAGCCAACCAGTGAATGTGCCTGTTGACCACCTTCCAAGTGGGAAAATGTGCAGAAGGGTGGTAACCACTGTGAGCTATCCCTTGTTTTAAGACATTCTGCCCTGGCCTACATGCCAAAGGGCCAACAAGACACCTCAAGCCATCTCTGATTCCAGCACGACATGCTCCACAAGTKGTGATTATATTGTTTTCAGGCTGTGCAATATTCCTAACCATTTGCTCCTCTGTTTGTACAGCATGAACTCACCACAGCTGTCTAGGCTAGCACAGAATCACCCATTTCCTGGTACCACTACTGTCAGAGGGATTTGTTTGGATGCTACAGGTAGCAGCAGCATCCCATGTGTCAGAGCATTTTCCCCAGCAGTACACAAGCAGTCTGAGACAAAGCACACAGCACAAAATACAGCAGGGCTACAGCATCATACTACAAAAATAGATCAAATTTGATTTTTTTTTTCTATATGTTAGAATAGYTTGCATTGGAAGGGACCTTAAGSATRATCCAGTTGCAAACCTCTGCCAYGKGCAGAGACACCTTTCTCTAGACCAGGTTGCTACAAACTCTGTCCAACCTSRCCTAAAACATTTCCTRGRATGAGGCAGCCACAGCTTCTCTGGGCARCCTGTGCCAGGGCCTCACTACCCTCAGAGTCAATAATCTCTTCCTAATATCTAATTTAAACATCTCCTCTTTTCCAGCTTCAATAGTGCCACTTTTTGCCCACTGCAACAACCCAGCAGCTCTCAGACCTATAAGCTGCAGCTTTGGCATGAGGTAACAGACAAGTGCACYCCATCCCTCAAGCTGCATATGCAAAGGTCACTGCATCAGCTCCCATAGGAAAAAACCTGCCAGATTTCCAAGATGTCACACCAGCATTACCCACCCCATTGCCTTTGGCCCAGTACTTTTGCACTACGCAAGTCCATTCTGTTGGACCACGCTACAGGGAACTGAAGTGCCATTGCAACACACTAMAGCAGCATGCCCAGAAACTTGATTCCCTTCTCTCCTTTGTCCTTAAACGAACTTACAGCCCCTGTGCTATTTAAAACAGCAGATAGGATATGGGCATGATGCAGCAGCACGTTCAGCAAGCTGAGTGGCTCTCTTCACAATTTCCTCTGGYTTTGAGGTCACATAGATCTCCAGGATCACAGAGGCTTGTGGCTGTGACAGCTCTGTAGAGCCCCATTACCTGTATCATACTAAGTCATCCTTTTATYCCTTTTTCTTTCTTTCCCAATTAGTAGATGACTTGCTTTCACTCCCCAGGGTAGAAGGGCTGTYCCCTTGATCAGTTACAACAAACAGGGATCACAAGCTACAGACCAAAAACAACTCTTCAGGAAAAACGTGGTGATATGGTAAGCAACCCTTCCATCTAGCAGCTCTTGATCAGTTGTATAAAGACTGCTACAACAGGCTGTCCACATCCGTGGTGGACTCCCCCATCCCCGGAGGAAGTCAAAAGCTGCGTGGAAGTAGCACCTGGGCATATGGGTTAGTACTAGCCTTGGCACTTCCAGCAGAATGGTTGGATTTCATGATTTTAGGGGACTTTTCCAACCAAAACAATACTCTGAATTTATGAGTCCACGCCTGGTAGACACAGACACATGTGGCTTGGCTGGACAAGCAGCAGACACTCTTCCTTAAAGCTCCTGTCAAGAGCAAAGTGGTGACTTCCAAGCSTCATCTCTCACCTGCACCAAGTATAGTTCCTTTTTAAGAAAGACAACTGAAAAAGGGCTTGTCCTTGTCATTCTGGAACATGAGGCATCTGCCCCTTGAGCTTGGCAGAACCACACATCTGGAGGACACACTGTTCTCCTGCTCCAGCCCCTCCACCACACGCAAGGACACCCAGATCCCAGTGTACCCCATTGCCTGGATACCTCATAGGAGCCCCAGCCAAGCTGCAGCCTTATCAGTGTGGTTGTTTTCCAAGAGCTCATGTTATGGAGCCATAGGGTTAGCAATATCCATGGCAATCAATCACCCACACCACTGCAGGAGCTGGGCAGGGAGTGTGCAGGGATCCAATTCACCAACAGCAAGGGAGAAGGGCTGAGCTTTAGCCTGGTATTCATACACAYGTGCTTTTCCCCTGCTTGTGCCATGCAGGCTGCCACTGCCCTCCACACCTGTCCCACAACACATGGGCTCACAGAAGGTAAACAGGGAGGGTGCAGGTGAAGGGCAGTTTCTTCTCCAAGGTAAGAAGTGACAGGACAAGAGGACATGGGCTCAAGTAGCACTGAGGGAGGTTTAGATTAGATACTAGGGAAAAATTTCTCAAAAGCCACTGGAATTGGTTRGACTCAATCCTCAAGGTCTTTTCTAACCTTAGTGATTCTATGTGTTCTTCCACCCACCAGACATCAGACAGGGCTGGGCACTTCTCTGCAAGTGGATGTCTCGGATCTGCTAAYGCACAAACTCAGCCCAGGGAGGGTCTGACCTGTCAATATCTTCTTCTCTCTCTATATTTAATCTAGAAGTGGGAATTTTTGAAGTACTGTAAATCCCTTATTTCTAACTCAAGCAAGAGTGAAAGACAGTGAAGTGCACAAGTCAGAAGGGTTTGGAACTAGAATGCATTCATTTCAACCCAAACCATTCTATGATGGGCCTGAAGCTCTATTCTGAACCTCCAAATAGTTTTACCTTTTGACTTCAAYGTCTCCTTCAGTCCCACACAGCTCTTTGGAGCCTCAGGGATCCCATGATAAGGCAGAGTCTGCACATCCCTGCTGCATCCCAGCCAGACAATCAGTACTGAGAGCGAAGCTGAACTTTCACCCTACACTAATACACCTGTTCACAGCTGCTGTCAGAGACCAAACCTGTTTCTCTGGGAGCAAGGTCCATCCACTTGTCTAATAATAAATTTCTTTACACAGATCTAATCCAGCCTACAGAAGCAGTAAGCTTCTCTAGCCAGTGTGACAGTACAAAAAAAAAAAACCATCAAGTGTTCTGTAAGCTAGTGCAACAGTGTAAAAAAAGCAAGTGATAATATTGAGTGCCACAGCCAAAGAACCATATTGCCAATTTTATTTGTAGCACAGTGGCACATTCAGTAGTGGAGAAAGGGGACTGCAGAACCATTGCTGCTTAGCCCCAGGAGCCAAAGAGCAGGATAAAAAACAGTTGTTTGGGTGGGAGCTGAGCAGCACTGTGAAAACATGCAGAGAGCAGAAAAACAGAGCTTATCCTGCAGGATTCCAAGCAGCAGTTCTCATAAGCATGTAAGCTTGCAAAACAGCCCAACAACTGCAATTAGCTCATACCCAGCTACAGTATGGAAGAAATTATCTTACCTTCTCAGCAGTGCAAGCCAGAACCTGAAGACCACCCCCAGGCTTCTAGTATTATATATGCCACAGATTCACAGTATGGTTTGGGTTGGAAGGGAACTTAAAAATCAATTTTTTTCAACCCCTGTCATGGGTAGGGGCACCTTCCACTAGACTAGGTTAGGACATAGCWATCAAACCTTTCTATTTCCATTCTGTAATTCATGTATAACAACTAAGGAGGAGCTTTGCCAGGARGCCAGCCAAGACACAGAATACAAGACAAATGCTTGGGAGGAAAAAAAAAAAAAATACACTTTTTGCAGCAATTCCTGCTCGGGCCAGATGCCCACTCTCCCACTGCAGTGAGTGGATCTCCCTGCACACAGCCTGACCAAGGTGACCCAAAGGTCTGCAGCCCCGGATACCTGGAGTCCTAGTGCACATGGAGATGCTCACSTGCTCAGGTGACAGCTTCTTTACCTAAACAAGACCTTCAGATGATGGCATTCCCAGTGTGACATCCTCAGATCAGCAGGATGTGCTCAGGAGGCTACTGGGATCTGTCTGCTGCAGTCCAGCACCATGCTCACACCTGCAAGGGCTTGGGTTTCACCTGTCACTGCAGATCCAGGAATCAGCTCACTGGAATATTCCTCAGCCACCTCATGCACTGCTTAGCTTAAACCTTTATTTACAAGGCCAGCCATCAACCAGCAGACAAACTTAAGCTTCTAGTGCCTAATCACTGCGTATTACMGCTTATTACTGTCAGAGCAGCTGCATGAAGCCCCAGAGAATGTGACCAGCCACTGCTCATGCTGAGCAACTGAGCCAGTTTTAGGCTGCTTTWCAAATCCACCTGGTATTACAAAACATGACCTCGTATCTCCAGGTAGAGGTACAATAGTCCTGGTGTTTCAGGTGGGGAGGCACTGATGACTCCAGTAAGACTAGCCTAATCAGCACAAACATCAGAGCACAGCCTGAATCTCATGCAGCTGCTCTAATACAGCAAGAAATAATAGGAAGAAATGCTTCCCTGTGAGGCGGTGAGGCCCTGGCACAGGTTGCCCAGAGAAGCTGTGGCTGCCCCATYCCTGGRAGTGTTCAAAGCCAAGTTGAATAGGGCTTGRAAACAACCTGGTCTAGTGGAAARTGTCCCTGCCTATGRCAGGGGSGTGAGCTTTAAGGTCCCTTCCAACTTTACTGTGATTCTGTTAATAAATCTGAGCCSATAGCCCAACAGMGGTGGTACCTCTGCAGGTACGGATGCAGCTACCACAGCTCTATGTGCAGACTTTGCAGGAGCTGAATTCAGCATAACAAGTGCCAWTGGTGAGACTGTCACTAGTGTAGTCTGTCCTTGCAGTGCTCAGTGGACACATGGCACAGGATGAGGTGCAGCAGAGAGAGGATTGCCCAGACAAACCATGACCCAGRGACACAAACCAAGCCCTGCTGAGCCATTACACAGATCAGGATCCAGYAAAAGGGAATTCTGCAGAGAGAACATTTAAACAAGTGATCCTCTGTAGACTTGTCTCCCTCTTGACCAAGAACAGCTAACTAGTTTAACCCAGGAGCTCCCATGCTCTTAGCAAATTCAAGCCCAAGTCATTCTGGTTCTTGGTACTATTCCTARTATCCAGAGATATTAATCATTGTTCATGCTATAAGATCAGTACCGTRACCATAGAAAACTACCTCTAGCACCTCTCTGTCCTATGATCCCTGTAGCAGCTTTTACCAACCCTGCAGTCAGCTGGCTGYTCCCCCAAAACAGCTGCAGGAGTCATCACCCAGCTGTCAGTCCTCACGTTCTGCTCTTTGCATGTGAATTGCCAGTGGGCTCTATAAACTTTGCACAACTCCTCCCCCTCAGTGGCAAAGGAATTACACCCACAAGGGGTTCTCACAAATGGGCTATGGGAACTAGCAACTATTTACCTAATACTGCTGCAAAGTTTAGTTTATCCTACCCCATCTCATCTATAAACCTACTTAAACAACCCAGCTGTTTGACAAACCTTTAATATCCACAGGGATCAAACCTTCAGGACTTCTGCCAGTGAACATTTCCATGAAGACAGGGATAAATGTGCCATCAAAGGAATGATGAAATAGCAGAACCAGTGCTACAGGTGATCCCTTGGAATCAGGTCCCCAGGACAGCAGAGCATATTTTGGCAATATCAAGGGAGCAGAGTTTAGTGTAGCAGTGAGGCCCTGGTACTAGAACACAACACATCTGAGACCCATCTTGAGCTGCAGAGCCTGCTCAGTTCTCTGTTAGCCATGAGACCCAGGCTGATTTCCAGCCTGTGCATGCATAGTGAATATTTCCATGTACACCTAGACTTGGCAAGAATTACCTGTTAACAACAGCAAATTTCATGGTGGACTTGGCAGTGCTGGGTTAATGGTCAAACTTGGTCTTAAAGGTCTTTTCCATCCTAAAAGGTTCTATGTTTCTAAGCGTACAAGAAGCTTGTTCACCAGCAGCACGTTCAGGCATCCTGAGAGYTCAAGTGACTTTGCAAAGGAAGAATCCAATCTAAGCTGCTTTCACATCCTKCTGGAATTGGATTCCCTGTTCCTTTCTGAAGCTGGACTATCTTGAGGATAGGTAGCTCAAAAATCATATCAAGGTCCCTCCCTCATACTCAAGCTGAATAAAACTTGCCAACAACYTTACATAATAGTCCTTTCAGCTGTGTGCCCTTCCAAAGAGGATCGAGTTCCCTCCTAGCTGAATTTAACCCTTGCTCCCTTCCAAGTCATCCAGCTAATTCTGCAATCCCAGAGCAAACTGGTAGCCCTGTCCTCTTTCTGAAACATGTCTGAACTAGCAGGAAAAATACAAGCATGTGTTGAACAAGTTACAAGCTGGAGAACTGAAACTATTCCCACTGCTGGCAAAACCCCTTCTCCAAAGCAAATAGACTTGAGGACAAATTTCACTGCTCTTTGCAAAATGCTAAGACATTTGGTGCACAGGGTTCCCAGCTATTCTGGCTCAATASATCCCAGAGCAGAAGTGTTACAGGAAAACAGATCAAAACTGAGCTAGATTTTATGATTTATGAGGGGGGAATAGAGTTAGGGTCAGCAGGACTCTGCTGCAGCACAGAAGAGAATCACAAAGTGATCTGCATTGGAAGGAACCTTAAAGATCATCCAATTAYAACTCCGTGYCATGGSCAGGGACACTTTCCACTAGACCAGGTTGCTCCAAGTCCCATCCAGCCTGGCTTTGAACACTCCCAGGGATGGAGCAGCCACCACTTATTGGGACAACCTGTGCCAGTGTCTCCAGAAGCTGGAGAGAACAAGGATTGCAGATTGCCTCAAAAAATCCAGTAAGACCACTAGAAGYAGCAGTTTCTGGCAATCGCATTGCCATCACTGGTGATACACTTCAGATTTTCTAACCACAGCTACCACATGGCAATGGTAACCAAGCCATGTCCTCCTTAGAGTTCACAGATATATTAGTGCCAGTACAAGAAGAAACTAAAGCAGTTAAACCCCAGGGTATAGAGTTAAACTTCAACTTACTCTTATTGGAAAATAATCCCTGAAGTACCTCCATATAGTCCAGTTTCTCACCCACTGGGATCTTCTTCCCCCTGTTGAGAAAAATGAATCATATTTTTAAGGCTCTTTCCATATGGCTGCCCATGATAAAGCCTGAAGGACTCCAAAGCTTGCTGTCTCACTAGAGGAATCAACACTTTCATTCCTTCATGTGGGACACATGCATCATTCACTGAAATCAGCACATGCTCTGGAACACACGGTACTTTGAGCAAATTAAGGCCCAACTGCAAATTTAGGGTAGACAACTCTATGATTCAAACTAGATACATTCAGATTCAACCTTTGGGAAAGGCCAAAATCCTGGATGATTTCAATCACCTTGAAACAATGCAGAACTGTGCTAATTGARTTCTAAAAGTAGTTGCCAAAGGTTGTTACCACAGTTGGTTCCCAGAAGCAGCTTCTAGAGGGTTGTTTTTTCTCCTGAAATAGTCTTCTGCTTAATTTGCAGCAACACTGACTCCATAGAGGAGCCACATCTTAATAATCACATCATAATCTGAACCTTGCAAGAGCTGGAAAGGACAGCAAGGTCTTGAATCTTTCCATCTTTCTGAATTACAGAAAGAATCTATCCCTTATGTTCGTAAAAGCAGGAAATGATAGGATATGAGTGAATGTTAATCTTGTACTGCCCTCAGCATCAATAAAACCTACGGTCACTGCTCATGCTAAGGGCTGACATTTAAATGCTTCACTGAATAATGCTTTTGGTCAGTGATTCAGCCAAGTCCCACTAAGACAGAAAGTCATCCATTATAAGGAAGTGCTTCTTTGTCCAAATATGGAAACAGGGACACCTTAAGTGCAAGGATCTGTTCTGCAATATTTACCTTTCTTTGGTGTATTCCAGTCAAATACCAGCCAGGCTAAATATAGAGCAGCAATCGCCCAGCAATCTGTGCACAGTATGTACATGAGGATTAAAGTGCAAGCAATACCTGCAGAGGTGCAAGAAAGAAGAAAACAAGGTTGCATCAGGTTTTGATCTCCATTTACACCCCTTGCCTTTTACTCTTCTATGCTGAAATCTAGTCTCAATCTGATGTCATTAATCCTCAATCAAATTCGATTTGGCTAAAAACACCTTACRTAGGGCTCAAGCAGCTTCCTCTAGAGCTCTGGAAAACCTCAACCTCCCCTTAATGGTCCTCCAGGTATCTTTCCATCCTATCTCCAAGCAGGGCAGCTGCTTCCATAGACTTGATGAGCACCAAGATTTCTTTGTGGCCCACACCAATGGAGGTTTTTTCCCCCACAGCTACATACATCTTCCGCAGATTACACCAGCTCTACATCAGCATCCCAGCAGGGTGCCAAGGACCCTGCCCATAAATGACATTGCCATTCTAGCTCAAACAGAATTGAAAAGGAACAGTGAGAGATGCTGAGTGCAGTCATTCTCCTGTTTAATTATAAAAAATTTAGAGGAGCAGAGGAGTCTGAGGCTTCACATAATCCAAGTACCCATGGACAGTCTTTACTCTTTTGCTGGTCTAACACAAACATTTGCCCATCTCTGGTACCCCCTGGAAGGAGAACAAGCCAAGARGAAGCCATTCCTGTTGCAGTCACTTTCATCAGTTGCCAACTGCTTCTCGGAAATCTCTGTGAGTATTCCCATGAGCGAGCCAGGTAAGATATTTCCAATTGTTTCAGCCTCATTTGCACAGTAGACCCAGACATGAGCTAAACATCAGTCTTTCCACAGCTCTTACGATTTTCTAGAGCCAGGAAAAGTAATTTATYCTTGAAAATATCAATGTAACTAGTTTACAATATCTATACACCCCAGCAGTTGCCCTGCTGCAGAACACATCCAGTAATTACTGGACAAAAGTATAAAAATTAAATTTTTTTTTGCATTAAAATTGTTCCAGAATTACAGCAAAAACCCCTTTGCTTTAGACCAAAAGTGAAGTTTACATTTACTTGCCCATGATAAGAAAAGTGAGAACCCATTGCAGCACGGAGATGATTTGGAGTTGTTTCTCTACTTTGGATTTCAATAGCCAGAACAAATCCTGCAGAGCAGAAAGAATGTTTGATCCTGTGCCTGAGGAAAGAAAAAATAAAGAAATAAAGTTCTATTTGCACACTGAGAAAAGGGAACAATATTTTTTCTTTCAAATAGAATCACAGAACAAAGGATCATCAAGTTCAACTTACTTTATAAGAGATTTTAGATAAATGTGCAGTTTGCTTTTAGAGCAAGGCTTGCTAAAAGCTACTATTTTCCATGGAGTTTGGGCATCCTGGAAGAGGAAGAATTGGCACCTATCAACATCCAGCATTCTTCAGAATAACGGAGGGAATTAATGGGTAACCATGAGTTCCCACCTGAGCAAGCCTCTATTGACTTGACCATAAAAATGCAGATGTTAACACATGTTCCTAACACATACCCTCATCTCAAGCTGCCAGTTCCTTGAAGTGGTGTTTCATAAGAGGGAACCCCACGAGTCCACAGTAAGATAAAGATCAGCTGCCTCAACCACAGGGAAGCAGACATCAGGTTGTGGTCTGAGCTGTTCTCATCCACCCTTCAGAAGGCCTGTTGCACAACTCCCAGTGCTATTCAAGGAAAGCTCTGTGCTCCAGCCTTACTCAGCACACAGCCCAAGGGCTGATTGAGCAACACCTCAACCCACTACCCTCAACAGCTCTACAAGTAAGGAAAATTATCAGCATTCCTAAAGCAGTAAATGAGAAGGAAGAAGCTGAAAGCCGCTCTTGTRAAAAGCTTTAGATATTCAAGAGGGGAGAAAACCAAAAGTGGGTAAAASACTGAAGTGGGAGACTTGCTTTCTATATGAGGAACCATCCACTACAGCTTTTGGCAATGTACTCAACCTCCAGAAAGAAGCACTTATGCGTGGGTTTTCCTTCACTTTTCTTCCTGACTTTATTTACAAGCACCATAATAACTGGCCAAAATACAAATCATGTTCATGTATATTTACATACTTCCTTTTGTGCTTAGGATCAGCCTGTTATTAGAAGGACTATGAAAGAAGCTGTTAATTAAATGGGTTCAGTCCTTGCTGACAAGATATGATCCTGCTAATGGTAATAGCATAGCAAGTGTTCACACTCAATCAAATGAAACTGATTGAAAATAGCTTCTYTAAGTATAAGCAGGCACTAGTATTTTTGGTAATTTCTACAAAGATACTCTCACTGACACATCCTTTAATTATGTAAAGCATCTGTTTCATAGGAATAAGGGTTGATTTAGATTAAATAAGGAAGAAGTTTTTTATTCTCAGGGTGGTGAAACATTGGCATTGGTTACCCAGAGATGCCTCTTCCCTGGGAACATTCAGGGGGSAGCCACACCAAAGGCTGCAGCCTAAATCTAGAGGCAGACCACCCAGTTCAGATTCTTGGTTCTGCTTAGTTCATGTTACACAGACAATCCCAGCAGTGGGTTGSGCATTAGTTACTCTAAGCAGAACAAGTTTTAGGCTGGGAGAGATCATACCACTACAATTGCCAGTAAATTGAAACCTACGGCGCTAATACATATTGAAGCAGCAGCTAGAGCCGAAAGCAGTTCTTTACCAGATAATATAGTGCAGTATTAAGAGTGAGTCCAGCAAGTAGTTCTCCTGCTTCTGAGGTGAGACAGGAGAATACGCTGAGTTAAACTGCCACTGTGCATTGATTTGCCACACTAGAGTATCTAGGCAGTGAGATTCAGAAATTCTGTGCTGTAAAAACTGGCAGTAAATAACCAAATTTGCAGTGAGGTATAAACTCCACCCCATTTTTTACAAAGCTAGCTGCCTGTCCCAGGGTAAAAGATACCTATTGGATTTGGAATGGTTTGTATTAGGAAAGAACTTRATGTTCATTGCAATCTAATGCCCTGCCATGGGCAGGGATACATTTCACTATAGCAGGTGGCTCAATTCTTCCTGAGAGACCATAGCTCCAGGAACTTGCTATCCCAAGAACTTTACAAAACTGCACATGAACAGACTTGATGAAGACTRAGGATTACCAGATATAAGTTTAAAGAAAGCTTACAGTAACCGTGGTGCCATTGGCCATATGTTTATGTACTCAAAATATGCCAAAAGTCTTAGAACTTATTTGTGACTCACAATAAAAGCCCAGCCCCATTAAATTTTATTCTTCCAGCACCTGCATTTACAACACCAAGCCTCTTTGGTTTCATAAACCCAACACTCCAGCCTTGGATCAGCTAAATCTCAATCCTCTTCCAAAAGAGAAGAACTGTTTATCCCTCCAGATGAGATTTTGTACTTCAGCATTTTCTACATGTTTGAACCAATTGCAGGCATTGCCAGCCCTGTAAATAGACCAGTGTTGGGTAGCATAAGTCAACCTGTCAACTTGTTTTCCAAACCACATGAAGATACACTCAAATCCTGCAGATAGAGGGAAGGCAGTGGTTTGACAGACAGCTCCAAGCACCTGCCCTTGGATAAGTGGTGTCCTGGGTCTTGCTGAAAGCAAAGACATCCTACACAGAGAAAAGATTATGCACTGCAGAAAAGTCCCAAGGGCTGAATATTAACATTTGATTCCCAGTTAAGACATGAAAGATGCCTGGTGGCAATTGGAAGGACTGTGGGAATCATCAGAGAAGTCACCTGGCCAGTTCATCAGGTCTRCCTTTGACCCAAACCTGCACACTCCAGATGAACGCATTTCATCAACCAAGCATTTACAGGTTTTACTGCCAAGACAACCCTTTCTAGACAGCCCTGAGCTTGCTGTTCATAATGACAGACCTGACACTGTGTATTCAACCACCCATGCAAGCCTTGCCTCCTTTCACCTTCAACTTCAGTAGCCGGGAGGCATTTTTGTAAAGACACTCCATGCTCTGGAAAACCAGGCCAGTTACCAGTAACACAGAACAGAAGAGCTTTGACAAATCAACAGAAATGTGGGGGTTTGGCACTCAGCCACAGAAGAACTACCCAACATTGACACTTGGGCTCAGTCCATTAGAGAAAATACTTCCTTTTAAGGGCTCACCTGTGTGCCCATACTAAGCACCTTTCACATTATTAAAAGCCCAAGGCATTTTCTCTAATTTTCAGAAAACAGATTATCCTAATAACCTGGTTTTAAAAGGCCCAGTAGATATAACTATAACTTTGAGGCAGAAGGATACTGTCTACACCAGCATTTTGTATCCATTTCTATCAGTCTTTTCCCAAGGAAATATTCCGGATCCTGAAGAAACCCAAACCTCCATCTTCTACTGCTGAAGACAGTAGCTTGTCCTGTGCTGGCCACACAACACTGCCCCTGGAGTATTTTCCAGGGTACCCRTCCCAGAACTGGAAAGCCTGACAGGGGAACCTTGACTAGATGACCCTTAAGATCCCTTCTAACCCAAGCAATTCCATAACTGTTGAGGACAGCCTTAGTATGCCACGTCCACAGAGGACATACTTTACCCACAGCTTTCCTGGTCTCAGATGAGATCCTAGCACCCCAGCTCACATGGCAGCCCATTCCTTTAAGTACTGATGGGATATTCCCTGCACCAAGCCGTGCATGGCTCTCAAGATTGCTCCTTGTCACAATGGACAGAGTAGCACCTTCTCCAGGAGACCTCCCTGCTGCCAGGGATAGCAGCCATCTCCAGCCTTCCAAGAAAGCTCAGGGACATTAGCCAGCTGTTCTGCAACTGGTGATGGGCTTGAAACACTGTTATCATTTAATTCCACTGAACACCAAAAGACCAGGAGTTGCTACCAAGGAGATCCTGGAGTCAGCAAAAGCTTTGACCAAGCATTTGACTCCTGCAACACAGACTCAGCATCTGGTGCTCTTTCAGTACAATTTATTTCAGATAAATTACTCAAACATTATTTATCTAGGCAGGGAAGCAGAATCAAAGGTCTCAAGAGTGGAAGTAAACAGGACTTCACACATGGGTACCAGAAAAACCCAACTGACAGGACTTGATTAAAAGCCAGCTAAAGAAACTAACTGAGAGGAAGTACAAGTGTTACATATAGGTAAAAATACACTGAAACCATGTTAAAGCCAAGCTTTATTTGTCCCCCTTTCCAGACAGCTAGCATGTTAATCTCAGCCAAGAATTAAACTGCTTCACAGAGCTTATTTGCAGGAAAACCATATTAGATCCATCAAAGCAYAARCTGCAAATGGACATTTTGAGCTACRTAAATGGCAGAGAAGCTGAAAYTGGARGCAWAACAAAGCTAGATAAGATAAGCAGACCGAATACTAGAATATCCAGGAGGATTCAGCCTCCCATGCAAAAGCAGGACTCCACACAGCACGCTGCTACACCTGTAAAACCCCTTGAGTAACACAAGTTCTTCTGAGTCTGGGGCTAACTTGGGTGCCCCAAGCATAAGCATACTCACTATATAGTAAAAAATTTGTTAAAAAAATAGTGAGCAACCAGAGCAGAGTATAGTTATCTTGTCCTGTACACAGCTTTAGAACAGTTTGCTCCTKTCCCAGGAAGCTACTCAATAATCCCATATTATCTGCAGCACAGTGTCTCTACAGCTGAAGGTCAACAACATTGTTAAGAGGGACATGCAAATAAAAATTTATAACAGCTCCTTTAGAAAGAAGCTTGGATTCTCCAGACCCAATAAACAAATCTGTTGACATTTCTCACGTTAGTTCTGCATTTACTCATAGTACTAAACTAAGCCCTCAGTCTCCATGCTCACAGCTCTATGTAGGTTAAAGTGATGTAACCAACAAGACCCAGCTGCCCCAGACCAGCCAACAAGCTTACATTTAAGTTAGCAGGACAGGACAGGTCTGGGTCCTGCTAAGGTCCCATTTTCTCCCAAGAGAAAATGACCCATCCTACTATAATTCATCAGTGCATCCAGAGCACATGGAAGCCCTGAAAGAGGGGTTTCAGATGAGCAAGCCCAGACCTTCACCTTCCAGACAACTTCGTCAAGAGAAAACAYCTCCATGCATCCAACAGTGATCCTGTTCTCCCAAAACAGGAGCTCCCAGGCTGCCCACCCCAGAGCAGAACTGGGGTCTGGTAAACCTCACAGACTATCTAACTCCAAGATAAAGCTAAGCAAAAGCATCTTCCTCATCCCAACCTTCTGACAGGTGAAAAAACATTAGAAACAACACTCCAGCACAGGACCACCTTTCAGTGTTGCAGCCACACCAACATCTTTCCTCAGTAGRGAGTGATGAGACAGACCTTGCTGCTCTGCCAAGCACAAGGAGGTGACCTCTTGGTCATCCCATGGCCAAACTGAGGCAGGTCAAGATGAGGAGACAACAATCCCTGCTACCTGACCAGGTGTCTCAGAGCATCATCCAATCCTAGGCAGTGGCCCAAGATCTGCTCTGATTTTTGCAATACTGGGTTGATATCCAAGGGCATTCTTCAGTATATATACAGGGATAGATATAGAGACAGATGCCTAAACCCTTTTTTTTTTTTGATTGTTTTTAAACAGGATCAAACTTAATTCAGCCAAATCCACGAGCACCAGGACAAGTCACAAAAGCACTAAGATGAAAAATAAAAGGACAGTATGAGCCATTCTGATGCTCACCCAAAAGTAAGCTCTTTGCACAGGCAAGATACTTGGAAGAAAAAATATTCAGTGAAGTAGGAAAAAAAAGTCTAATGGGTTTGTTCTACACATMCTCCATAGTCAGAGAAGTTGTCCAACATAATCAAGTACTAATGAGATTCCATGAATGAACCTCTATACCACATCAGTTTCGGCCAGACTTTGATCTGCAGGGTCTCACATTCCTATCCCCAAAACCCAGCCCAAGTAAGAACTCCTCTGGGAGGCACCTGGATTTGGCTTTGAAGCCAATTCTGTGCTTTTCCTGCCCAGACAATCCTGGCAAGGGGGTGGCAGATGCCRCAGTCACCAAGGCAACACCTCCTGTCTCCCCAAGCAGAAAACACATGAGGATATAACTCAAAAAGCACAAATATCACTGCAGGATCCCACGAGGTGCCTCWGAGGAAAACTGACCTGAGGAGAGTTAAGACAGCTTTCCATCACTAATCAGGATTATCTAGAGATGAGGCCAATCACTGTCCCTAAACCACACTCCATTTTGAATTATGCACGTGTCCTACATCCATCATTAACATGTCAGTGCCAACAAGGTGGCTGTAAAGTCTCAGGTCAACCCTACATATTTTATAGGTTTCCTAAATTATTTATTCTCTGCACTTAGCTTGCAGTTAACTCTCAGCTCAACAGTTCAGATGCTGCTAATTCAAGTGACCTCTCTCAACTGAAAACATAACTTGCCCTCTGTTAGTTGTGTAAGCAAGTAAAGTTATTTTAAGAAGCAGATTTGAGCAGAGGAAACACACAGAGGTCTTTTCCCCAGTCGATTCACAGCTGATCCTTCAGATCAAACACTAAAATACTTCTGGCTGAGATGGGCGCCAGCAGCTCTACACGCAGGACTGGGCAGGACAGTGCAAAAGCAAAACCTCAGGGGTTAATTCACCAGGTTCATGTCCTTTCAGCCCTGCAAATGATTTGCTTAAGAAACCATTTCACAGGTCTCTTCATCCCAGGAGGAATTAGCAGTTTATTTTTTTGAGGGCAAAAGGCCTTTCACAGCACAGAAGAATCACTCAAGAAACCTTAAATCGTTGTCCAAGAGCATTTTCATGCAAAGCCCCTCCTGTTTGGAAATCCTGACCTTTCTCTAGACAAGCAACCTTGCAGAAGGGATACTAAACTCTAACCAGCAAAACATTTAGACTTGCTGATTTTATTCCTACAATATCCTTTAAGATGCTGTTACAAGCATGCAAGAGAACTTGTCGTTTGGGATTTCYTACATTGTCTCTCCAAAGCCCTTTAACAACAAGTTGCAGCGTGCAGGGAAGTGTTCGCTGTCTGCAGCAGCTCTGCCCACGATGGGTGTCAGCCACAGACACCCATTCCACTTATCTCGACAAGTCACTCACGACCACAGAGGGCTGTAAAAGCAAACTTGGCGGAACTTGTTACCACAAAACTCCTGCTGAACAYTGAATCTTCAGCTCCTCATAAAACAACAACAAATAGCAACGTGTTGCCCTTTTTTTCCTCTCCCGTTGATGTAGGTATGGGGAACATATTATTRCAAAACAGTTGGACTTGATGAAGAGGCCTTTTCCAACCTAAACTAYTTTATGAAAATAAGGCTGAGACTGAATTTTATCAGCCATGCGTGCCGATAAAACTAGTACACTTCYCTTCCTACCATCACAAAAAGAGGAAAAAAAAGACTCGTTTATACGCATGTGTTTTACGCCCACATYTCGCCAAGGTGTAAACTCACTCAGACCAACCAGAGCCGCTTCGAACAGCCCGAGGAGCGCAGCCCGAGCTCCGAGCTCGCTAAAACACAAAACCTGCGCAGAGATCCGTAATCCCCATCTCAAGAAACGCTGCAGCTGCCTCCCCGCCATTGCACATCGCTCTCCCTCCCTTCCTATTCCTCCTGCACAAAGCTGCTGCGGCCAAAAAAAGGGGGAATATCAAAAAGCTAAGCGTTTGGGGGCTGCTCCCACCCCAGCCCTTGAACCGGCGGAACGCTGCYCCGCACCGCAGCATCCCCCTCCCGGCACCAGGACCCACCTCCACCCCTCCCCACCGCCCCCGGTACCTCTGAGCACCCCGGAGTAGGCAGCAATGATGGTCTTCATGGTAGGAGGGTGCTCAACACTCGGACAGGGCCATGGGATGGAGAACTGCAGCCGGCTCCACAGCCCCGGTGCAGCCGGCGAGTAGGAGCAGGAGCAGCCGCGTATCCATATATAGTGCCGGGGAGGTGGGAGGAGGAGGAGGAGGAGGAGGAGGAGGAGGGGAAGGGGGAAGGGCAGGGAAGGGCGGGCCTGGCAGGAAGCCCGGGTCCTTCAGCCCGGACGCGGAGGTGGGGGGGAACCTCTTGGTACAGGTAGTGCAGCTTTTTGTATGAGATTTGGGAGCGGGGCCAACGAGCAGAGGCCCACTGCCCACACAGGCTGTTTCATTCCCTGTTTTATAGAATCACACAACAGTTTGGATGGGAACAGACRTTAAAGCTMACYCAGTTCCAACCCTCTGCYKTGAGCAGGGACACCTTCCACTAGACCAGGTTGCTCCCTGCYRTATCYAACCTGGCCTTGAACAYTTCCAGGGATGGGGCAGCCACAGCTTCYMKGGGCAACCTCAGGTGCCMGGCTTCACCACCATCACAGCCAAGAATTTCTTCCCAATATCCCATCTWACCCTGCCCTCTGATAGTGAGAAGCCATTCCCCCTTGTCCCGTTCTTCCAGGCTCTTKTCCAGTCTCTCTCCAGCTTTCTTGGAGCCCCTTTAAGGACTGGCAGGGGCTCTGAGGTCTCTCCCCGGAGCCTTCTCCAGGCTGARGAGCCCAAACTCTCCYARYCTGTCTCCAGAGCGGAGGGACTTCAGCTGTTGGAGCATCTCCGCCTCCTCTGGACTCTCTCAAGCAGCTCYRCATCCTTCTGATGCTCTCAGAGCTGGAGGCAGCGCTGCAGGTGGGGTCTCACCTGASTGRGGCAGARTCSYCCCCTCCCCTGCTGCCAAATCCCATGTGTGGGATCAGCCCAGCACGTGGGGGAGCACCAGGCTGGCAGAGCACATGGCTGGRACACATTTCAGTTTCTTGTCCACCAACACCCCTAAATCCTTTCCAGGGCTCCTCTCAATCCATTCTATCCCCTCACTGGTGGGAGGGGATCACCCAATGCATCTGGTAGTGATGGGCTGTTTAAGACCCAATAGCTCTCTTCTTGCTCAAATGCTCTTCCACCCCAATCTTGGCTGATTTTATCTTCCCTAGTTGGCTTTGGGAGTTCCGGGGTCCTAAAAGAATCATGAAATTAGGAAAAAAAGTAGAAATGAGACATATTTAGTAATTTTAATTTTTTTAAATAAATTTTAATGAAAAATTAATAAATGAAAACTTTAAAACTTAACTGGAGCTCTAACGGTTTCATTAAGTATTATTTTTGTTACGATAACCTGCAGGTACTGTCCAAACCACTCACCAAGCCTGACCAATTTTCTTCTAACTGCCTGTTTAAGGGTCTRTTCAAGTGCTCCGTAAGAAACAGTGACCCTGTTATTTAGGTTTGCATCAAGTTTTAATGTCGCTGCGCTTGCCAAGAGATTTCTGGGGACAGGTGGGTCTGTCCCAGGTCCCATGACATTAAATCAGCTTCTTTGTAACAGGGTGCTGTCTGGGCAAGTTGGTAAACAAGGGACTCTGCTCTAGCTCTGGAYGAAGGATCAGGCCTCTGCCTCTTCCCTAATCTCAGTTTCATTTTCTATAATTTGGAGAARATTGAATCATCTGTATTTAAGGAGCACTTTAACATCCCTCAAGGAAAAGCCTGTAGAAAGYAGTGGACAAGTAGAGCTTCTTATGTGCAGTGGACAGGTAGAAAACATGACTGAAACAGCCCCAAAAATGCTTCAACTTTTTTAAGGTTTTTTTGGGATGAGAGCAGGATCATGCATAGATGTGTCTACAGGTTTTTCCAGTTGCTTCTGGAGGTGCTGCAGCAATATCTACCTTTAGGCTCAAAGAGACATGTCTACCAATGTGTTTCATTGGAAAAAAAAAAAAAAAAAGCCATACTTTCTTGTGTAGAGGGCTTAAATCTGCGATTCAGAGGTGAAAATGGTTTATTTTTCTTCTCAGTCCCCTCAGGCATTCCCATACCTGTCTTAATGAGTCAAAATAGCACCGTATCTTGTTCACTCTCCATTAGGCCTTAAGGATCTTCAATATTTGCAACTGGCCAGCTGAAATCTGCATAATAATATAAAATTGCAAGAGCCTGTCTGAAGAAAGGGTCTTGACCAACAGGCTAAGACCTCCAAAAGGGAGCCAGAAAAGGAATAAATCACTCTACCATGCTGCTGAGTGAATAGAGAACATTCTGCTGCCTGCCTATGTTCCCTGTCAAATTAAATAAAGTTATAGGCAAGCAAAGAAGGACTGAARTATCTTTTCTTATTTTAACTGAAAGAAAAAACTGCCAAAAAATCCCACTGCTAGGTCATGACAGCATGAGACAGGCAGATGGAAAAAAAGTTCATTTGCTGGGATCACTACCTGTCCAGATCCATCATCTTTCTATTTATATATTCACATTTTTATATATTTTGGTGCAAATTCTCTGAATCCTGATTATAGAATCACAGAAGGGTCTGGTTTGGAAGGAAGCTTGAAGCTCATCCAGTTCCAGCCCCCTACATGGGCAGGGACACCTTCTACTAGATCAGGTTGCTCAGAGCCCCATCCTACCTGCCCTTGAACCCTCCAGGGATGGGGCAGCCACGGCTTCTCTGGGTAACCTGTGCCAGGGCCTCAGCCTCTCACAGACAAGAATTTCTTTCCATTATCCCATCTAACCCTGCCCTATGTCAGCAGGATGCCATTTTCTCTTATCCTGTCCCTCCAGGCTCTTATCAAAAGTTCCTCTCCAGCTCTTTTGGAGCCCTTTTTAGGCACTGGCAGGGGCTCTGAGGTCTCCAGTAGCTCCACATCCTTCTGATGTTGGAAGCAGAACTGCAGGTGGGGTCTCACCTGAATGGAAAGAGGGATAGAATCCCCCTTCCCCTGTTACCCATGCTGTGGGATCAGCCCCAGCCCAGGACATGGGGGGTTTCTGGGCTGCTTTTCTTGCTCCATATATTGTCATGCTGTCCCAGACTAGAAGGATGCATTAAAAATTAAATAAATAAACTAATAATAATAAGAATTCTCAGTGCTTCATGGAGTATTACAACTGTCAGGAGTAATAAAAGACACAACCACCATAGCCTCAGGCTCAGCAGTTGCTTTAATTTGTGACTTGAAGGTGCAAAATTGTGTCACCAAGTTCTTTGTAAGGAAGGAAAACTTGAGCCTTGATCTGATGATACACATGAGTACCAGGACAGCCTCTACCCTCACAAGGGCATTTAGTGACACAATCAAGGGAACACCTTTAAACTGCCAGAGGGCAGGGTTAGATGGGATATTGGGAAGAAATTCTTGGCTGTGAGGGTGGTGAGACCCTGCCACAGGTTATCCAGAGAAGGTGTGGATGTTTCACCACTGGAAGTGCTCAATGCCAGGTTGGACAGGGCTTGGAGCAACCTGGTCTACTGGAAGGTGTCCCTTGGCAGGGGTTTGGAACTGGTTGGGCTTTAAGGATCCTTCCAACCCAAACCATTCTCAGATTATTTGACTGCCACTACTTGAGCAGAGCAGGGATCTCTCTCCCAGCCAGGTCCCACCTCACTTCTTTTACCAGTAATTGTCCTGTAACTTTTTCTTTCCTCTCCCATCCCACTCACTGAAAATCAGCAAACAGTTCCAAATAATAGATTAGAAATGTCTTGGTTTTTTCCCAATGAGAAGCCACACACCAGGTGCTTTGATAGATGATTTTGGAAATGCCCTGGGCTTGTTTTCTTGATGTTTTGGTTGATGCAGGAGATACACAACTTTGTCTGTTATTAAACCGTGTGTCTGTCATAATTATTCTTGAACAATAATATCTTTTCAAATACCCTACTATTACTTCACATGAGCCCGACAAATATAGGTTGTGGACAGAGAAACACAGACTGGAGCCAGCTCTCTGCAGCCAAGAATAATTCACAATAGTTTTAGAAAGGAAGTTCATCCTTTCATTCTGGGTTTTAGTGGCAACAGAATCTCATAGCAAAGTATCAATGAACCCTTACGCAGTCACTTTTTTTTTTAATACATGTACTGACTTTTTAGGGCGATGCCCACTGAATAAGGCTTTTGAGAACACATTTATTTTTCCCTTCCAACTTCTATTCAGGGTCTGCAGGAATTGTTTGCAAGGTATGGGGATGGTCTGAAGTACTTTGGGTCAGAACTTGGTGTACGATTTTGTAGTTTTGTTTCTATATGACTACTTAGTGGCAGAAAATCACAGAAAATGCCGTGTTTTCAAAGTGTCAGTGTTCAATGTCTTCACCCAGAGGTCAGAGGTTTGGATGTATRTAAGAAACTTTCTGTATTTGGCTTGTCAGAACACATTATACCCCAGTGTAGGCCTTATGTGTCTTTGTAATTCTCCTTTTCTGACTTGAAACCATAGAGTCATTTACCTGCCTGAATAAAACCTATGCTCATGGATTTTTAAGTTTTCTCTTTTAAGGTAGTATTATTTTCAGTAGATTTTTATTTCAAGAGTTGATACATGTCTTAAAAACAGAAGATTGAGAGCTGCGAGAGTTGTTCATTGATCCTGCAGTCTCTGCACAGGCTGCATGCACAGCATCAGAGAAGGGCCTTTTCTGCACAATTTCTACTCCTTTCTACTAAGATGATAGATCTTTCCCTGTAGTAGAGAGCATAGTTCAGGTACCACAATCAGATCCAACTCAGTAAGTCTTACCTCCCACTGGACCAKGTTGCTCCAARCCMCATCAAACCTGGCCTTGAACATCTCCAGGGGTGGGGCAGCCACAGCTTTTGTGAGCAGCCTGCACCAGGGCCTCACCACCCTCATGGGAATTTCTTCCTRATCTCTGATCKAAACCTGCTCTCTTTCAGTTTAAAGCCATCATGCACTTTCTAACTGGAGCATAACAGGACAACATTACAGATACATAAAGTCACTTTGGGTCAGGTCATTGGCACAGTCCAGTGACATTGGATCATGTTTTGCCAGGGTGCAAAAACATCCACTACTGTGTYTGGAGCCAGAAAGAGATGAGTGAGCAGGGAGCAATGCTTCCCCCCTCTCCAGAGATCTCAGCAGAGACC